GGCGCCTGCTATGTGACATGGCTCTGATGCTGCCCAAACACGATATTTCAGGGGTACCAGCTTCCCTGCAATAGAAAACAGTTATAGAATTATGCAATTTTGCATTGCTAAAACAATTTTTTTCTTTCAGGACCAAAAGGGCCACCGGGACCACCAGGACAAGTACTCGAAAAGATGGGACCAGATGGGCCAACTGGCCCACCAGGTCCACAAGGTCCTCCTGGAGCAGCAGGCGTACCAGGGCCACAGGGTATACCAGGTGCAGCCGGTCCACCTGGAGAACCGGGCGATGCTGGAATGCCAGGAAAACCTGGTAAACAAGGCGAACCTGGGAGACCTGGGCCCGACGGTGAAACTGGTGCAGCTGGATCGTGTGATCATTGCCCACCACCACGGACCGCTCCAGGGTACTAGTTCTGATCCAGTCATTCGATACCAAGATATTTTATTTTTGTTGTTTGCATTGGTAATAATTTGGACAAAACAGATCCAGAAAATTCAAAACTCAGAAAATTTCGTCACTTTTTTGCTTAAACTCTCACTGACTTTTGCAGCTAGTTATCAAAAGGTGCTTTTTTGGAAGTTATTTCGACGCATTGTTACCGCTTATGATAACTGCAAGATGTACGGGAGATTTTGTGGATCGTTAATAATTTTTAAAGTGCAAAAGAATTTAACTAACAAAAAACAAAAAACATAAAAACATTCGATTTTTTTTCACGCCTTGCTAAAGTCGTTTCGGGTAAAAATTGCATGGCGGCGTGAGGCACACGGTCGTAAGGGGAGAGGAAAGGAGGGGAAGGGAAGTCGAGAAGCTTCGAAAGAGAAATTCGAAAAAGTCCGATATTTCAGAAAACAATGTAACAAGAATTTTGTCGGCTCAAGTCTAAATTCGTATACGTTCGTCTGTTATTGGCCTCGGTCTGTCTAGGTTCGCAGTGGGGAAAAAAAACAATCACTCATAAGTCTTTATATCCTGCTTTGCTCTGCAGTAAACGCTTTTCAAAAGT